CTCTATGGTCCTCTCTGGGTTTCTGTATGTCCTCTTCGAGTCTCTGTGTAGTCCTCGCTGGATCTCCGTGGTCATCTCTTGGTCTCTGTATGGTCATATATTGGTCTCTTTGGTCCTCTCTGAGTCTCTGTGTGGTCCTCTTCGGGTCTCTGTGCTGTCATCTCTGAGTCTCTGTATGGTCATATCGGGTCTCTATGGTCCTCTCTGAGTCTCTGTGTAGCCCTCTCTGAGTCTCTGTGTGGTCCCCTCTGGGTCTCTGTGTTGTCCTCTCTGAGTCTCTGTATGGTCATATCTGGGTCAGTGTGGTCCTCTCTGAGTCTCTGTATGGTCCTATCTGGGTCGCTGTTTTCATCTCTGGGTCTCTGTATGATTATATATTGGTCTCTGTTGTCCTCTCTGGGTCTCTGTATGGTCATCTCTGGGTCTGTGTGGTCCTCTCTGGGTCCCTGTATGGTAATATCTGGGTCTGTGTGGTCCTCTCCGGGTCTCTGTATGGTCATATCTGGGTCTGTGTGGTCCTCTCTGGGTCTCTGTATGGTCATATCTGGGTCAGTGTGGTCCTCTCTGAGTCTCTGTATGGTTATATATTGGTCTCTGTATGTTCTCTCTGTCTGGGTCTCTGTATGGTCATATCTGGGTCTCTGTGGTCATCTCTGTGTATGTATGGTCATATCTGGGTCTCTGTGGTCCTCTCTTGGTCTCTGTATGGTCATATCTGGGTCTGTGTGGTCCTCTCTGGGTCTCTGTATGGTTATATATTGCTCTCTGAATGTTCTCTGTGTCTGGGTCTCTGTGGTCATCTCTGTGTCTGTATGGTCATATCTGGGTCGCTGTGGTCCTCTCTGGGTCTCTGTATGGTCATATCTGGGTCTGTGTTGTCCTCTCTGGGTGTCTGTATGGTTATATATTGGTCTCTGTATGTTCTCTCTGTCTGGGTCTCTGTATTGTCATATCTGGGTCTTTGTGGTCCTCTCTGAGTCTCTGTATGGTCATATCTGGGTCTGTGTGGTCCTCTCTGGGTGTCTGTATGGTTATATATTGGTCTCTGTATGTTCTCTCTGTCTGGGTCTCTGTATGGTCCTCTCTGGGTCTTTGTGGTCCTCTCTGGGTCTCTGTATGGTCATATCTGGGTCTCTGTGGTCCTCTCTGGGTCTCTGTATGGTCATATCTGGGTCTCTGTGGTCCTCTCTGGGTCTCTGTATGGTCATATCTGGGTCTGTGTGGTCCTTTCTGGGTCTCTGTATGTTCATATCTGGGTCTGTGTGGTCCTCTCTGGGTCTTTGTATGGTTATTTATTGGTCTCTGTATGTTCTCTCTGGGTCTCTCTTTGTTCTATCTGGGTCCCGTGGTCCTCTCTAAGTCTCAGTGGTCCTCTGAGGGTCACTGTATGTTCTCTCTGGGACTCGGTTTGTCCTCTCTGTGTCTCTATTGTCCTCTCTGGGTATCTATATGGTTTAATGTGAGAGTTCCTACAAATGTTGTTGAATGAGTAACTATATTCTGTTAAAAAGTGCGTTCGATATCAAAATATTCCGAAATCTTCGTTTAAATTATAGACTCTGAGGTAGTTATTCAGACAATCTGGCAGTTTTCTCTCCCTAATTTTATGGTCATGTAAAATGAACATAACTATTTCCCATCGCTGTGCAAGGGTTCTTTATTTTAATAACGCCCGCTCAATTCCTGTTTCAAAAAGGAGTTTTACAAAAGTAAGTGCATTTAAAATATGTCACAAAAATATTTGTTAACGGTTTCACAGTGACATCATGTATGGACTTTCCATACTAAATATGAACTACAAATACGTAATAAAAAGCACCCCATAGTCACTAGAACAATATCTGCTCTGCCACTTTAGCTTGAATTGTCCTAACCTTTATTACTCATTTCGTAAAACATTTTGTTTCACACGTAAACTACCTGCCATATAATCCGGATATGGCTCGTCGTGGAAAATCCATTTCGAAATGGAGGTGTCAATTGTTACCGGAAATAGATCTCACCCTGTGATGATGAGAAGAATAGCATAATATCCGGTTACGGTGAACATAAAATCCGCCATTTATGGAATTGACTTGGTCGCTGAGTGTTTTGGAGATAACATAAAAGGAACTGCATACGTCACTATTCGAACGTGTAGGAAATGTCACGTGTTACACACAAAGGTCAGCTTATACACGTGCCATTAGATGAAACTTGGCAAACAGCCCTTATTTTTGGTATTTCTATTTTTAAAAGGGTGTTTTAGAGGGCTTACAATAACGTAACTAAACTATGTGTCTGATCTTACAACTCAAAGAAAGGCACATGATAGATGTATTCAAAATATTGGTTTATTCTGGTGGAAAATATATACCTTGGGATTCGAAAATAAATAACTAAATTATCTAATAACTTTAGGCAAAACGTGTTCTTTGTTATCATTTTACAAACATTTGCTCGCCCCAGTTACATATTCTACCGTAATGCAAACATATATTTGATTATGTCTTTAACAACAATATAGGAAGCTTAACTCGAAGATAGAGCTGTAGTTACTGTGTGATAGACATAGGAATATTATGTCGTGAACACTATTACTGCATTCTTCCCACCTCTCACAATGGAAAACGGTGGGCAATAAATCACTTGCTACCACAGTCCACTGCACACATGAAAGGGGTGTGTCCAGTGGACTGTGGTCACAAATGCTGTAAGAAAGGGGAGATAATCAATAAGTAAGTAATGATGAAGTCAATACAGTGGAAAGGGTAAACTTAGTTGACACATTTAAAATTAGGGGGGGGGNGTCAGAAATTCATCATTGTTTCCCGTATTTTGTTCTAATTGTTGAACAGACACTCCTTACCTTCCCTGACACTGGGGCTGGATAGTAATCCAAAAACACTTGTATCCATTATGAAGGATACACTCAGACTGGGCTATTGAGAATAAAGACAAACTTACCTGGTTCTGATTAGTACTCACTCACACAGGTACATGTAAATTATTTGCAGTGTAGGGTAGGTAATAAGATTGTCCAGGTGAACATTTTTTACTTAATTTTTCTGTTTTGTTCGAGTTGGGAAGCATTCAGTAAGCCAGTTATTGCAGGATTTCTCGTCACTCGGGACTTATTACACCCTCGCTTCGCTCGGGTGTAATAAATCCCTTGTTACTCACGTGTAATAACCTTTACATACAATTAAGTGCCTTAGATCTCACGTGAAATAACCTTTGCATACAACTAAGTGCCCCAGATACCTTAACATACAATTAAGTGCCCCAGATCTCACGTGAAATAACCTTTACATACAAGTAAGTGCCCCAGATCTCACGTAAAATAACCTTTACATACAATTAAGTGACCCAGATCTCACGTGTAATAACCTTTACATACAATTAAGTGCCCCGGATCTCAAGTGTAATTACCTCTACATACAATTAAGTGCCCCAGATCTCACGCGAAATAATCTTTACATACAATTAAGTGTCCCAGATCTCACGTGTAATAACCTTTACATACAAGTAAGTGCCCCAGATCTCACTTGCAATAACCTTTACATACAATTAAGTGCCCCAGATCTAACGTGTAATAACCTTTACCTCCAATTAAGTGCCCCAGATCTAACGTGTAATAACCTTTACATCCAATTAAGTGTTCCAGATATCACGTGAAATAACCTTTACATGCAATTACGTGCCCCAGATCTCACGCGTTATAACCTTTACATACAACTAAGTGCCCCAGATCTCTCGTGTAATAACCTTTACATCCAATTAAGTGTTCCAGATATCACGTGAAATACCCTTTACATACAATTAAGTACCCCAGATCTCACGTGTTATAACCTTTACATACAAGTAAATGCCCCTGGTCTCACGTGTAATAACCTCTATATACAATTAAGTGCCCCCGATCTCACGTGTAATAAACTTTACATACAATTAAGCGCCCCAGATCTCACGTGAAATTACCTTTACATACAATTAAGCGCCCCAGATCTCACGTGTAACAACCTTTACATACAAGTAAATGCCCCTGGTCTCACGTGTAATAACCCTTACATACAATTAAGTGACCCAGATCTCACGTGCATTAACATTTTCATACAATTAAGTCCCCCAGATCTCACGTGTTATAACATTTACATACAATTAAGTCCCCCATATCTCACGTGTAATATCCTTTACATACAATTAATTGCCCCAGATCTCACGTATTATAACCTTTACATACAACTTAGTGCCCCGGATCTCACGCGAAATAATCCTTACATACAATTAAGTGGCCCAGATCTCACGTGTAATTACCTTGACATACAATTAAGTGCCGCAGATATCACGTGTAATAACCTTTACCTCCAATTAAGTGCCCCAGATCCCACGTGTAATAACCTTTACCTCCAATTAAGTGCCCCAGATCTCACGTGTTATAACCTTTACATACAATTAAGTGCCCCAGATCTCACTTGTAATTACCTTTACATACAATTAAGTGCCCCAGATCTCACGTGTAATAACCTTTACATACAAGTAAGTGCCCCTGGTCTCACGTGTAATTACCTTTACATACAAGTAAGTGCCCCAGATCTCACGTGAAATAACCTTTACATACAATTAAGTGCCCCGGATCTCACGTGTAATTATCTTTACATACAATTAAGTGCCCCAGATCTCACGTGTAATAACCTCAACACGTCGCTTCATTATGATGACTACTACTCACAAGAAACAAAACTTGTATCGATCAGAAGTAAACCTAACGATCATTACTCAAAGTCCTCAGTTTACTCACGAGATCCAGGTCGCCTAACTGAACACTCTAAAAGCAAAGCTAAATGTTTGAGACGTAACCGTTTCTATTCGGATTCATCGCCTAGTACGATCCATTGGTGCGATCCTAATTCATTTTCACCACAGTATGTCCTGATGGAATTGACATATTTGTGTGTGGTCGGATTCCTTACAGAGCTCAAGAACATAACACAAATTCTAATTTCGTTTTATCTCTATTTCAGTGTTGACGGCACCGCTGGAGCCGGGACACGTGGGGAACGCAAACCAAATGCGCCCTCGGGTATGATTAGCCAGTTTTGCAGGGTTTAATTCACATTTTTTGGAAGTAAATAGAAATGGAGTTGGTCCTTCTTTGATTATCACTTATGAGGGCCGACTTTTTGTACCAAAGCTGCTGCATGATTACCCAAGTACTACAGGAACACCTATTAAATGCTGATGTCCCGGTACTTTTGAAGGCCACACTAAATTATTCATACATAAGTGTATTCCCCAGTGTGAGGAAGTTACAAGGCTTACTACGACATTACCACTGACAATTCAAGGTTTTGGGTTCAATTGATGATACGGCGGCATGGCCAATGCCGCCCGTTCTTACAGGCAAAAACTAAGGTTTGGTGGCAGGTAAACAGTGTCAATGGCCACCAGTACTTTGCCTTAAAGCTTATTTCCACACTAAATCTCAACGCTCCATCACAACATTTCTAACCACACTTTATTTCCCTCGACGTTTCCAATATATTAAATTTCCAAAACTAGAATTACGTAGGTAATATACATAATGAAATCTATCTACGCCGTTTGACATTGTTGTTCCCAGCAATCTGATACCACAGTGCCAAGATCAGATATATGGCCCCCTGTAGTCTGACCATAATGACGAGGGTTATCGATTTTTTATTCTCAATAATATAAATTACCACATACTAGGTACACTGTTTATACTCACCACCCTGAACACATTCGTTACATCGTATAATAGTAGTGGTAGCAAGAAGTTATATCATGCTGAGGTTTCGACAGTAAACAACTTACACAAATAACTCATTTTACGACAAAGAAGTTGTTCCTATCTAAGTCTCTGAATTAAAAAAAAAAAAAACCTAAATGTTAAATTTAGTACAAGATTGATTTGCTTCACATTATGTCATAATGTTCTTCTTTATTTGTTTACCAAACTAATTTCCGCCGTTTTTCTTCTTTTCCTAGAGTCCTTTGAATCTTGAAGAGGAGCTGAGACAGCAACAACCAAAAGCTAATGTGGTGCAGGTTCCGGTGAATTATATACCTCCCCCGCCACCCCCTCTTTTACATCAAAATGACGTCATTTCCGATGAAGCCAACACGATGTTAGATAACCTCAGTTTCGAAGAAATTGTTGAAGACGTTTTATCAACATTGAAGAAACACCCGGAAATATTAAAAGAACTTGCACTAGGTAAGTTTTTAATCATTGTAGAATATCACATTTACCTTAAACGTACCTGACATCATGAATCTCACGAGACTCATAAGCGTGGATAATGCGAGCAGCATTTAAACCGACCAATGCATTTTCGATGACAGCCTCGTTTTCATCCGATTCTTACAGAAACTATTTCTTTTTAGGAAATTTAAGGCTGACAAATTCTGATTAATCTTTATTTATCTCTCTGCTGATATAAGAAGACAGCTCTATAACTCACCGACTTGTTCTCCAGACAAAGACAAATAGTTATGAAAAATTGACGGCGTTTCCAACGCAATGAAAACTGATGGTTTCTCCGATGCAGCTAGAACTTCCCAGTTAAGCTGGTCCGACACTCTCGCGTATCAGCAGTGTACCGGTAACATCGGTATTGACAGGAGAATAAAATACATTACTGTTGTCTGTTGGTGATGTGAGGTCTAAATTAAAGTGGCTGTACGCTTCAAGACGCGTTGTTCTTGTAGCGTCCGTAATGACAATAGTAATATACATTTATAAACGATATGTGGATGGTTGACGTGTATAACGATAAATCTAACACTTAGTGTTAACAGCTTTATGAAATAAATAACCCAGTGTTTTACCCTCACGTAAATTATAAACCATACTTCAGACTCTATCAGATACCCACAAAACCTAATGGCAAAGTAAGGTTACACACACTGTATTTGACAGTTTTCTGAATGTGCCATACTTTTCCAGAGATTATGCCCGAAACATATCATTGAAACCGGCATACTTATATTAAATTATTTTTGTGAATTGTATTTTCGGGTTTTCTTTTAAACATGTTTGAGTCAAACGAAATGACTTACTACGATCTCTTCCTTGGTATCAAAACGATGATAGGCTATTACAAATGTGATGTTTTCCTGCAAAAATATGTCAAGGTGTGGAACACCACGCTGACTGTATTGTATCGTTCTATCTCAGATGAGGAACAGAAGACGGGGATACAGATTGACCAAAATGACGAGAACGGAAATATCCCAACCGACTTCCAGATGCCTTCTCCCCAACTTCTCGAGGTAAAAAACTCTTCCTGTGGTGGCGACATCCCCATACACATCAACGACAGTATCAACAGTTGTAGCTACTCTCTGATTTTGTAAAGGTGCCAAAATGTTTACCTGTTCCAATAATGCCCTAACCCATAAAACCTTAATAGTGTTGATGATGTGTTGGGGATGTGTTGATATGTTGGAGATGAACTACATTGTCAGATTTTATCCTCCGTGGCAGTAAAAAAATAAATAAATAAATAAATATATATTTATAACAATGCAAATATATCATACATAAACATTATTCCTCTCACACATTACAATTCATTCATTAAATATTCATTTATAATAAACTTCATATTTCCAGGTATAATTAATAATTAATTATATTTATGTATAATTAAATTACAGCTAAATTGTGTCCGTTATATAAAAGCATTGTTTAGAAGTGATAGAAAAGAGGTTAAAGCTGGTCTTAGAGGTATAGAAGGGAAAGTAAGACTAAGAGAGAGATAAACAAAAATGAGGAGGGGGGTGGGGGGTGGGGGGGGATGGAGATTGAGAAATAAAGAAGCTATATAGATGTGTCGGAAGGTTCAAGGAGTTTTACATATAAGTATTTAGAAGTACATGTTTATATAAGAAAATTCGATAGTTATATCTTCATATTTTGGCAAAGACCGGGTTTAAGCAATATTAATTAGACTTTCCCATTTTTTCCATTCAGTATTGAATTTCAATAAAAATAATTCACTTTTATTAACAGCAATAACTCTCTGAGTAAAATATGTGTCCTTGATAAGGTTCTTAAGTGCAGCTACTGACAATGACATTTGTAAACATCTCGATTTATAAATATATTGTTTTATAAGTAAAATTATGGTATTATCTACCCTACTACTGATACTATTTTGAATAAATAAACCGAAAATGAAGGTTTCCTTGTTAAAACCAAATGGGATTAACACTGCATCAAGAAGGAACTCAAAATTTTGAAAAAAGTCTTGTACTTTCTCACATTCCTATAGTGTGTGAATTATTGTCTCTATTTCAGTCTTACATTGAAAACAAAGAGCACTATTGGTAAGAGCTGCTTTAACTAGATAAGAGTTTGTTGTTAAAATGTGTTGATTTATTCTGTATTGAAGCCATTGTAATTTTGAATTTCTAGTTACTGTAAAAGGAATCATATATCAATTTCCATGTGTCATCATCGAATTCAAACAATTCATTCCATTTGTTTTTCCCAGTGGATGTGGTGTTATTTTGGCACAACAACTTATAAAAATCTTGAGTTCCTTTTTGATGCCTCATAAATACTTCTAAATTTAAGGGTATGTATGGATAACTAATCAAAGTATTTAAATATCATCATTGGACATGTAGTTTTTTTTATAGTATTAATAATACCTTGATATGTAAGAAAGTTAGTTTCTACATCAAATTTTTGTGAAAATTCTACAAAACTATAGAAAATACCAGAGTTATTATCTTTTAATACGTCATTTATAATTATAACACCCTTTTCAAACCATTGCTTATAAAATAAACACTTGGCTCCTACTGTAAAATATTTGTTATACCAAATAGGCATTTTCAATCTACTTTTCATCTCTCTTATACAATCTTCTTTATCAAATATTTTTCTCCATGATTGGAACACATCTTTCCAAAAACGGATTTTACAATTGCCTTGAATATTAAATAAAAATTTCCGTAATAAAATATTCCGTGGCAGTTATTTATCTTGAAACACTTTACAGACGGATTAATTCCGAACAACCGTAGTCATATTTATCTTATAAATATAGTATGAATATATATCATGTTGTATCGATGATAACGACGGAGAGCCAGATAACTAATGGAAACAACAGTCTTTGTTCAATAAATAAGGAGTGGGGGGCCTAACCCTTAAGCACATGCTAGGATGCTTGTATATTTAGGAAGTCGAAAAATGATCAGTCATTTCCCATTAATTCGTTTTGTGTACAATTTACATCAGGAAAACATAAAAATGTCGTCTGGCATGACACTTTTCTGGATAAAACGATAATCTATTTTATTCCTCGAATTATTGTATCCCTGCACCAACAACACCTATACGCTATCGCCACGCGCGGATGAGGAAATGTCGAAACATTTCCCAATGAGTCATACACCCGTATATCACGTAAAATGTAATTAGACTCAAGGAATTGTATGATTTTACATAAACGTCGCATAACCGGTACAGTTATACGGCACAGTGCTACTCTATCACAAGATGAAAAAATCCAAAGAGACGTTATCGGCTTCATCTATGTCGACTCAGCAGCTTTTGGAAAAAAGCCATGGAGCAGATCCCACTTGTGGGTGTATTGACTTTGGTAACGAAGCAATCTCCCACGATTTCCTTAAGAGTTTTCAACTACCGCGGTTTTCAGTGTTCGAGTGCTCTGCTGTACTGTATTCGCCGTACTTGTTGTTTTAGTATCGTCCGAACTGAGAATGTATGTAACTCGTGTTGCCCAACTGTGTTGCTTCTCTGAATGATACCTAGTATGTTTGTGGTATCACCGCACAAAGTACTGGGACTCAGCTTCCAATTCCCCATCTTTCGATGCTGAAATGTCACTCCAATACCAGGCAATAGTGTCGGTATGTAGTAATACGGGCTTTCTTATTTGTTCACTTGTTTTCCCTGAAATCCGAGATATCCTCTGTGTAGTAGATCTTTAAACGTTCATTATCATCTTTGATTTGATTTATAACAATACTTACAGAGCATCCCTAGTGCAGGACATTTATTGTCTCTGTATAGCTCTGCAGTGTCTTGCTACGTTTACCACACTGTCCTTTTAGTCAGCTACCCTCCTTTGGCCTTTTGGCGTTTTTATGTTTGTTTTGTTTACTTTTAACAGGTTTTCATTAGACTGTTTATTTATTTGTTGGTGTTTAATGCTCGCACTGTTGTCCACTTCCGACCAGTTTTAAGCTGACGTTCATACTGCCGACCTATTTTAATAGCTTTGGCGAGTGTGACGTTTTGACCTTTATCCAGCAACCGCTCTTAAACTGCAACGTCTTGGACACCATTTATGATAGCATCGATCAGAATGTCGCAATCTTTTCCATCGTTCTATTTCCTTTGTTGCATCTTAATACTTGCCACCCATATGTCGATGCGTTTCTCATACTCTCGTAGCCTTTTAACAATAAAATCGGGATCATTACCTTCACCATTGTTCCTTGTGAATATCACGTTTTTGGTCTTATGTACTGACCACACTCGATCTACCCAGCTCTACCCTTCTCTTCACATCATGCCAACTGATATTAAACATGAACCTGACATCTGGCTGTGACCTTAAGAATTTATTAAAGGTGTCCTTAGTATCCCAATCAAGTGATGTCGGCGATGGAGCATGATTCTGACGCCAAGCAACAAATCAGCAACAACTCAACAGGAATTACATCACGGAAACTGTATTTATTGCCGCTTAGACAACATACAAAAACATGATCGCTCATATCATTGATGATAAAATTGATATCAAACTGCTTGTATTTCAACTATCATTACACCGACAGCTTTAAAATATTGTTACACGAGTCTGTAGATGAACGTGTCGTTACGAATGGTTGATTTATCATAAGCACTTGTTTATAAATTCCTCTGTGTCGTTAATAATGACGGCTAAAGAGAGAGATCGCCCCTGTAATAGGAAAGAGTAGTGTGTTTTTCCTTACCATGGATCTAACAAGCAACCCCGACTACCCGACCCGCCTGTTTGCCAAGCTAATTAGAAATTCTCCTAAGAGAATAATGCCCTCCAGATAGGAGCAAGGAAGGGACCACGATCTTATGAACAATTAGCAATAGCAAGTTCCTATTGTCGATGAGAAACTAACATCTCATTACAGTTATAAAATGCTCCCTCGTGGAACATTAAACCTTAATTGTCACATTGAGAAGTGTAATGTAGGACGCCCGCGACCTCACTCGTTCATCCCTGGCGTCGCGTGCCGCTGTAACGTGCGTTTGTGATACGTTGACTTCCCGACAGACATTTGTTCACCTCTTTATCTACATAGAACTGTTATTTATTTTCCTCCAGTGGGTGTTTTTTCACGCACTTTCATGAATCCCGAACTCGCCGAAACGATATTGCTCGATCCAAAGCCAGTCGACTCATCAACAAGCTTATTTCGACCTTAAGTTGTCCCTAATCAATTGATTCGGCTCTGTTTCATACGGTCACGTGCCATTTACATATGTTTAAGCGTCTATTGATAATGACAGTGGTGTAGAGACCTCTTTCTAAGACACAGTCACCTTGTTGGAGAACGGGTCACCAGGAATCTGTATAATATGTTATCTCATTCCGTCTGTAAATGGCCTGTGAGACAACACACTTGCTAATGATAAGGAAAGCTATTTTGGAGTGAGGCAAGGAAATGTCCCGTCAGGTTTATATAGCGCCATTCTAATGACTACCGGTCTGTATAGAGATGTTTCCTAGATTCCTTTCAATGTAGTGATATCGAATATTGTTTACTAAAAACACTCTGGATAATGAGTTAAAGAAATATTCATAGAGGTAGGTGATAACGGTGCAACATCAATATATTGAAATATTTGTTAATATCTTTAATTAGAGTTTAAACACAGTTATGAAATAACTTTACAAATAGAAATAACAATTTGGAGTAGAATTATCGATATGAACCTTGCTTGCTATGATTATTTTAGATTGTTTCTTCAAGATATTAATTTGATGGAAAATATTAGATACTATCATTTACGATCGTCACAGCTGCATGCGTGTACATGGCATTGCTAACACCAACTCATCGGTGGCACCTTGCTGTGCTACAACCCGCCGCGTATTCCTTTGGTTTCTACTTCGGGTGTAAAAATACGATATGAAAATAAACGTAAGGATAAGAAAACGCATAACCATTAAAGTGTTACATGTGTAGTTGTACAGTGGGATTTATGATATTTTGGAATTATCAATGATAACATGTGGGTATTTTAA